TCGGTTTATAATAATTGCTAAACTTAGGTTTATCCTCGATATCGAATTTAGCATTTGGATGAGCTTGACTATATAGTTTAAAAGCCATGTCTGTATTATTTAAGACTTCATCAGCGTTTTTCTTATCGATATACTCCTCATTTAACCAGTCTTGGTACGCCTGTCTTTTCTTTTCATACTCACCCATTTGTCTTTGGTATTCTTCGAGAGCCTTATCATGTCTTTTCTTCTCTTCATCAACTCTTGATGAGCTCCCATCGAGTGTCTTAGCTAGATAAGAACCACCCACAAATGCTGTAGCGTTTAATACAGCTCCAGCTACCATTACAGCTATTGTTGCCATCTATATTTATTCTTATATAATATATTTATTCTTATATAATGTTACAAATTTGTTGGAATAATCTTTTTAGTCTCTAGATAGTCCTTCAAATACATTGAACCAGCTAGAACCAAAACCCACTTACCATAGTTAGGTAAGGAGCTCGATGGATCATTGATAAATGACTCTCTAATAACTTTCTTACCCACATATCCAATACCAGCAGCAATTCCTATTGTTACACTAGCATCCATAACTGTTTTGACCACTTTGTTTTCTGTTGAACTTGACATTTTATATAATATTCATAAACATTTTTATTTTTATACCATTTTACTCCATACCAATTCTCGGCACTGGTATTTTAGATGATTTCGTTTGTCTGGAGGATAATTGTAGTTCATTCATAGATGAAGGGGTTGGTAATTTAGGTTTTTCATCTGTATTAACAACAGAAGGTGTGTTCGACTCATATTTATTCTGTTTTATCCATCTAAAATATAAATCAACAGCGGTCAGAGTTATTCCAACCATTGTCAATGCTGTTGTTAGTGATATTTCAGGCATCCACTTATAATCACTATTATCTTTTTCCTCGGGTTCATTATCAGCTTTAAGAGCTTGTTTGGCTCTTTTATGGTAATCAGCCAATCGTTTACCTGCTGCTACCTTCTTAGGATCCTTAATACGTTCTACTTTTTGTTCAGACTCCTTAGTTATTTGTTCTATTTGTGTGCTATCGTTTTCAGACATTCTATATATGAATAACAAAATAATTATTTATATATATTTGGTCTGCTCAAGAGATGCTCAAGAGAATCATGACTTGCTTAAGAGTCTGCTCAATAGTTGCTCAAGAGTTGCTCAATAGTTGCTCAAGAGTTGCTCAAGAGTTGCTCAAGAGTTGCTCAAGAGTTGCTCAAGAGTTGCTCAATAGTTGCTCAAGAGTTGCTCAATAGTTGCTCAATAGTTGCTCAAGAGTTGCTCAATAGCTGCTCAAGAGATGCTTAAGAGATGCTCAAGACTGCTCAAGAGTTTGAATAGTAGTATCATGGATATACTTATCCATATCTTCTACTACTTCTTTATTGCTAGTATAATTACGATCTATATGTTTAGCTACTTGAAATAACCCAGTTGCTAATGCAATAAATCGTCCGCCTTTTAGAATAGCATAACCAGCTACATTAGTAAGTTCTTGCCTTATCATCTGATTTCCCTTAAGATCATGGGATAAAGATTTTTTATCATCTATAGGTAAGATATAGCTAGTTAACTCAGTTGCGGCATCTATTGCTGTATCGACTAATGTCCCTGCAACTTGAGCACCCATAATTACTTGATATCTATTATAGAATCTATCAACATCTTTTGCTGATAATTTCTTGACATCCCCGAGACTCATCTTATTACCAGTGTATACCTCGATTGTCCCTAGAACTGCTAAAATATATAATTGTTCACGTTTTTCTTCTACATCTACACTATCGTCTTTCTTAACC